TGCCGGTGGTGGCCCCCCCCTCGCTGTCCCTTCCCGTGGGTCCCCGACGTCCCCGACTTGGTGGCACCGTTGGGGGCTTCGGCCACGCCCCGGGGCCGTGACAGGGACAGGGACAGGCCACTGCCACCCTCGGGCTGTCACCGGGGTCACAGTGTCACTGTCACCACCAGGGACAGGGACAGGCCACTGCCACCCTCGGGGTCACAGTGTCATCAATGTCCCCAGTGCTCCCCCAAGGTCCCAAACATTCCCAGTGTCCCTCAATCCCCCCCGATGTCCCCAGTGTCCCCAAGTCCCAAATATTCCCAGTGTCCCTCAATCCCCCCCAGTGTCCCCAATGTCCCCGTTGTCACCCACCTCTCCCCTCCGGCCCAGCAGCAGGTACGTGGCCGTCACCTCGTTGTACTTGTGGGTGCTCAGCGCCTCCTTGATCTCGTCCCTCGTGTACCCCATGCCCACCATCACCTCTGGGGGGGCGACACAGGGGGTGGCACCGCGTCCCCGGGGCTGCCCCGGTGTCCCCAGGGTCCCCAGGGTCCCTCACCGATGCGTTTGGTGTCCCCAAAGTCCTCCTGGGGCTCCGTGTACGGGGTCAGCTCGTCCCCCTCGTAGCCGATGTTGATCCACTTGTCCTTCATGATTTGCTGGGGGGGACACGGGGACATCAGGGGGACACAGGGGACACTGGGGGGGGACGTGGGACATCCCCAAACCCCTCAGAACCCCCCTCGGACCCCTCGTGGGACTCCCTGGACCACCCCCCCAGCACCTTTCAGCACCTCCCAAAACCCCAGGACCCCTCAGAAACCCCCCCGAGACCCATCCAAACCTCCCCCAAAACTCCTCAGAACCCCTCGAGGCCCCCCAGAATCCCCCCCAGGACCCTCCCCCAGGACCCCCGCAGCCCCCAGACCTCGAGGGTGCAGCGCTTGGCGGGGTTGAGCACCAGGAAGCGCCGCAGGATGTTCTCACAGTCCGTGGACATGTAAAAGGGAACGCGGTACTTGCCCCGCAGGACGCGCTCCCGCAGCTCCTGGGGGGACACGGGGGTCGCCTGGGGTCACCTGGGGTCACCTGGGGTCACTCGAGGTCAGAGGGATTTGGGGGGGTGACAAGAGGCGACCAGGAGGTGACAGCAGGGGTTAATGGGGGGTGACCAGGCGGTGACTATGGGGTTAACAGGGGGTGACAGGGAGGTGACAGGAAGGTGACAGGGAGGTGACAGGGAGGTGACAGGGAGGTGCCACGCCGTCACCTTGAGGTTGTGGCCGTCGAAGGGCAGTGACCCGCTGACCAGCGTGTACAGGATGACCCCCAGGCTCCAGATGTCCACCTCGGGCCCGTCGTATTTCTTGCCCTGGAAGAGCTCGGGGGCGGCGTAGGGGGGGGAGCCGCAGAACGTGTCCAGCTTGGAGCCCCGCGAGAATTCGTTACTGAAGCCGAAATCCGCGATCTTGATGTTGGCGTCGGCGTCCAGGAGCAGGTTCTCGGCCTGGGGACAGCGACACAAGGACAGGGACAATGGCACAGTGGCACTGGGACAGGGACACTGATGTTGGTGTCCGTGTCCAGGAGCAGGTTCTCGGCCTGGGGACAGCGGTGGGGACATGGACATTGGGACAGGGACACTGGGATGGGGACAAGGACACTGCCAAAGGGACGCCAGGACAGGGACAGGGACCTTGATGGTGGCTTTGGTGCCCAGCAGCGGGGTCTCAGCCTGGGGACAGGGACAGGAGCACCAGGACACAGAAACCAGAATGGACACGGGGACAGGGACACCGGGATGGACACAGGGACACTGGGATGGACACAGGGACACCGGGATGGACACAGGGACACCGGGACAGGGGACACGGGGACATTGGGACAGGGGACACCGGGATGGACACAGGGACAGGGGACACGGGGACATTGGGACAGGGACACCGGGATGGACACAGGGACACCGGGATGGACACAGGGACACTGGGATGGACACAGGGACATTGGGACAGGGACAGCAAGACAAGGACAGCAGGAAGGACACGGGGACCTCGTCCCCCGTGTGGTGCCCCCACCCCGTGTCCCCCCCGTGTCACCTTGAGGTCCCTGTGCACGATGTTCTTCTGGTGGCAGTAATGCACGGCCGAGACGATCTGGGGACAGCACAGGGGGTGGCACTGTCACCGCGGGTCCCCGGGTGTCCCCAAACCCTCCCAGATTGTCCCCAAGCCCTCAGGGATGTCCCCACCTGTCTGAACTTGGCCCGCGCCTCCTTCTCCTTCATCCTCCCGTGGGACACCAGGTAATCAAACACCTCACCTGGGGGGGGGGGAGGGGACACACCTGGGGTGAGATCTCCCCCAAAACACACCTGGGGGGGGCTGGGACCCCCCACCCAAAACTCCCCGAACACACACCTGGGGGAGGGGACACACCTGGGGTGGGCCCAAAGCCACACCTGGGAGTGGACAGGAAAGGTCAGAGTGCCCTGGGAGGGGGAGGTCTTGGTGTCCCCAGGTGTGTCCCCAGGTGTGTCCCAGGTGTCCCCACCTGTCCCAGGTGTGCAGTCTCACCTGCACTGGCGTACTCCATCACCAGGTACAGCGTCTTCTCCGTCTCGATCACCTCAAACAGCTTCACTGGGGGGGGATGGGGGCGATCACCGGGGACCCCTCCCCAATTCCGGGACCCCTCCCCACCCCCAGGACCCCTCCCCCCATTTCTGGGACCTCCCCTCCACCCTCGGGACCCCTCCCCCATTTTGGGGACCCCTCCCCATCCCCCCTCACCGATATTGGGGTGGTTCAGCCCCTTCATGATCCGAACTTCCCGAAAAAGCTGAGGGGAGGGGAGAGGGGGTCAGGGTCAGCGAGGGGGGGCCGAGACCCCTCCCCAAATGAGGGGAACCCCCCCAAGCCCCCTCCCCACCTTCTGGAGGCTCGTGGGGTTCAGTTGGGTCTTGTCGATGATTTTAATGGCGACCTGAAAATGGGGAGGGGGGGGCGCTGAGGTG